CGACGAAAACCCAACCCCGACGGCAAACACCGGGGGGGGAGGGGGGGGAAGCCCCTTCGGGGAGGGGATATGGGGCACGGAACTCCACCAGGCTCTATATGGAACGTGGATGTTCGATGACTGTGGGACATAGTTTTTGTGTTGCCTAACAGCATCACCCTGTGCTCGCCGATCATTCTTTGTGACGCGCAGATCCCCATGAGCATGGGGCAAACCAGCNAACGTCGTTGCCAAGCGACGAAAACCCAACCCCGACGGCAAACACCGGGGGGGGAGGGGGGGGAAGCCCCTTCGGGGAGGGGATATGGGGCACGGAACTCCACCAGGCTCTATATGGAACGTGGATGTTCGATGACTGTGGGACATAGTTTTTGTGTTGCCTAACAGCATCACCCTGTGCTCGCCGATCATTCTTTGTGACGCGCAGATCCCCATGAGCATGGGGCAAACCAGCTTTGTGGACGTGTTGCTGTGCCCGGACATCCAAGAGATGGATATGGACGAAGAGCAGCAGGAGGAGGAGGAGGAGGAAGGCCAGGACGGGGGACATACCATGGAAGAATAGGCAAGTGGGCTTGTCTTCACCTGGCTCTCCAACAGCAGTGCCCTGTTGTTGCGCCATGTGGCAAGATCCGAGTTGTCGGGGCTGAGCGTCTTCTCCCCAATCGCAATAGCTCGAACATAGAGAAGGTCTGCTTCCTCGTACTCGCCCTGGAAGGGGAGAAGAATCCACAATACGGGTGGAACCCAGGCAACCGGGTGAAATGCCCAACAGTCACTTGCTGATTGAGCAATGAATTGACACCAAGCGAAACATTTCCCAGCATCCGCACGTTCCACACAGAACAATAAATGAAAAGCTGAACATTTTGACGGCTCCAAACATCTGCTTCAATCGCGTCAAGCATTCACACGACACCACGAGCAATGCAGCATCAATCATGGCTCTCACCTGTTTCTTTAGCAGCAGCGCCAAGTTGTTGAGACGTGGAGCAAGATCTAGGTGATCGGGGCCAAGTGTCTTCTCGCCAATCTCAAGAGCTCGAAGGTACAGAGAGCGTGCCTCATCGTACTCGCCCTGAGGAGCACGCGGCGGCGTGGCGTGAGGCATCGGGACCCACAAAAAGGTTGGAATATTCAACAAATGGCGGTGAGAACACGTTCTCCTGGAAAAACCTCCTACTTATCACCCAAAGCTCCAACAACGCCGCCCTGTTGCTTAGTGCTGTGGCCACTTGGGGGTGCTCACTCTCTAACGATTTTTTCCGAATGGCAAGCGCACGCTTATTTAGAGGATCGGCTCGCTCACAGATGTCCTGGTACGTGATAACAGGAAAATGAGCGGGACGGAGGCTATCAATAGGGAGGCAAACGTCAGGCGGCAGGGATTCTCAAGCGGGGACCAAATACTCTATGATGCTCTAGAATATATGCTTTACAACTCCGGTCGGAAAGGTGGCAAGATCTGGATAGCCTGGGAAAGCGTCTTCGTACCAATTTCAATTGCTCGAGGGTGCATAGGGTCTGCCTGGTCGTTATTGCTCTGACAAGCAGCAAGCAGCAAAAAAGTGGTGTGAGGCTGCGATCCCACCAATAGCTTTTCAGTGTTCTACAAATGGTGGCCGTGAGAAGATTCCTGTCGTAATCTGATGGCTCTCAAGTGGCACTCCGACAACCCCGCCCAGTTGTTGAGTAATCCAAGCAAGTCAGCAGCAGCTTTTAAGAACTTTGAACCTTCTACTTGAAAAACTCTCACGTGCTGCTTTAGCGCAACATCATTCATAGGGTAACATGAAAAATTTCCTTGAAGCTTGTGACAGATCTTACCTTCTTGACCGATGCCAGGTTGTTGAGCGCTGCGGCCAAGCTCGGTTGCTCGGGGTCGAGATTCTTCTCTTGTTCCATACACCGCTCGCAGAGTTGCTGAGCTTCAGCGAGTTTGCCCTGGAAGGGAAGCATGAAACGGGTGAAGTGAACGCGTGGTACTACACTGCGGTACACAGAAAGCCAACAACCGCGCCCTGTTGTCGAGTCTCGTGGCAAGATCTGGGTGGTTTCAAGCTACAGACGAATCTCACCTGCTTGAGCTCTGCCAGGTTGTTGAGAATTGCGGCCAAGCTAGGTTGTTCAGGGCCGAGCGCCTCCTCTTCTATTGCCATTCACCGCTCGTAGAGTTGTTCAGCTTCAGTGTACTTGCCCTGAAAGGGAAGGGGCAAGCACGAAACGGGCGTAGCCAAGGCGTTGTAATGCACTGCGGGTAGAACAGCAGGCCAACATGGGCGCTCTGTTGGCGACCCCCGTGGCAAGACCTGGATGGTTGACGCCCAATGCCTTCTCGCCGATTTCAATCCGTCGAAGGTTTTGAATGTTTGCCTCATGGTTGTTGCCTTGTGTGGGCAGCTGGACCCAAACGAACAAGTGAGTGTTGAACAATGGGCGGCAAAGATAATCCCCTTGAACAATGAAATCGCTCTCACCTGGCTCTCCAACAATCCTGCCCTGTTGTTGAGCCTTACGGCAAGACTTAGGTGGTTGGGACCCCGTGTCCTGTCTCCAATCTCAATACTTTCAAGGGACAGAGAGTCTGCCTCTTCGTACGTGCCCTGTGCAACAAGCAGCGGGGTTGGCGTTGTGCAAGCAATTTCATCAAGGGAGCTTTGAAATATCAATGGTCAACAATGGCCGCAATGAGAAATGCTGAACAAATCTAATGACTCCCACCTGAATCCCCAACAACCCCGCTCGGCTGTTGAGCACTGAAGCATAGTTGGGATGTTCTGTGCCTACGGTTGCACCCAGATCTCGTAGGACTCGCACGAAGAGAGCGTCCGCGTCTTCGTACTTGCCCTGAAGGGGAAGGAAAAAGCACGAAACAGGTCGAAGCAGCAACTTTAGTTAGTGTATTGCGGAGGAACAACTGCTCAACAACCCCGTTCGGTTGTTGAGACTGTTGGCATTTACGGATGGTCCTGCCTCAAGGATTTGTCAAAGCCTCGTGCATCGTCATGTGCAACGACTCAGCTTCGGCGTATTTCCCCTGAGAGGGATGGCGCGAACATGAAACGGGCAAATCCAAGGGTATTGCCCCGCACTGCGGAACGTCACACTCCACGACGCTTGCTGGTTGAGCCATTCCCTATCTTCCTTTCCAAAATACCGATCGCACGATTGCTATGAAGGGGCTCGCCTTTTTCGTTCTTGCCGTGACACGTGGCGAGAGAAACAAAACGATAAAGACGAAGAAGAAGAACGTCGAGAGAACAAATAGTGCGCAAAATTCTGAAGACCAATCTGAAATTGAAAGATTTGCAATGTTGCGCTCTCGGCTAGTCTACGAAATTTTGCAACTCTGGAGCCAACATTAATTGGCTGATTCGCTCTCAGCGAATGAAAATGATGCGTGCTGTGTGGCATGCGGAACACGAACGGCACAGGGTTGGCTGTAGGCTATGAGCACGTGCGTCTTAGGCTGTGCATTACTAGACGAAAAAGGGCATGTGCAAGACGCATGTATGTGTCATTTTGCAAATGTGTTGCAGGTCTGTGTGGTACTTTGCATACGCGCGCGTCAATAGCGTTGCAATAAATGAGCGTAACGCGCCCAAATAAGGCAGTAATGGGCTGAAAAGAATCAGCCGCATTAGTCTAACGCGCGTGCGCGCCAGTAATATAGCACCTGGTTGGGTCGCGCGCGTCAAATCGCACGCGGGCCAACATGGTACCTGCGATAGATACTCAAGGCAAAAGACCCGCGGAAACAACGTCGAGAAAACAATAACAATAAAATCCGTGCGTTGCCGTCACGCCATCATGTGACAACGACTTCGCCCGCCAACCCACAGCACAAGGTAAGTGCATACAGCCTCCTGGCACCTGTCGTTGACAACAAAATTCAAAATCAGTTTAACTGACAACGACTAACCACACGAAAACAACAACAACCGCCGTCCTCCGTTGTACGGCATCGTCAAAGGCTCCCCTTATTGCATCGAAACAGGCATGGTCACCAAAAGAAAAAAAGTGTGTGGCAATCCTTTTCTATGACCCCGGCTAGCACGTCAAAGCTGAATAAAAGGTGTGAAACCAACTGTCCAGAAACGCGTCACTCAACGTCTGCGGAACTAAGGATTGTTTCTCACAACACAGTCGGACACCCTGCAAACACGCCTTGAAACGAGAAATCTTCTGCTCTGGACTAGTTCTTAATTGCTTAGGTCCTTCAGGCTTGTGGACCCCACACGGCATCCGCCTGCTCGAAATGAAACAGCATACCTGTTGGGCCAAAACTACACCGAGGTCACATGCTGCCGAAGCTTCAACCAGCAGTTCTTGTCTCCATTGCTGGCTCTCCTGGTCTTCAATGCCCCGTCGCGCAGCTTTCGTCCGACTAAGTCTCTGGCAAAGCACATGGATCCGCCCATCGGCGTCAACAACGTGAGGTTAGCGACGCGTGAGAAACAGGACTCCAGGGAGGAAAGTGTTGGTAGCTTTTGTACGGCGTCGGGAACGATCACGTAGCCAAAAGACACCGACGGCAACGATACCTTCTACACAGAATTACACAGAATGATACCTCCTTGTAGCCCTCTTCGGCTTGAACGTATTGCGCTGCGTCGGCCAGCAAGTCCGGTAAATAGAATCGGGTGCGACCCCAATTCTGTTGGGCAAGGCGGACCATCTCTTCTGTGATGCCTGGGGACCACACCTTGAACAGGTGGTCCGCATCCATTTCCGTGGATACCTTGAGCTCCCGCGCCCACTCGTACACTTCATGTTGGGCGTCCTTCAATTCGAAGAAGCTTTCCAAGTGCAATTGGATCTCACAAAGATGCGCGCTCACAACGGTGTTCACTTCAACGTTCCGATACCCGCTGGGCTTTCAGCCAGAGTTGAACCCATTGCTCACCCGTTTAACGTGGGGTGTCTGCACGGTAGAATGTTCGCAGTGGCGGCGGTAGGAGCGTGATGTTGAGGTGTAACTTTGGCGAACGAAAGTATCCGCAACGGTCACAACAACAGCATCCTCTGCTGCGATTGTACCAACCGCTCAAACTTTGTCTGTGACAAAGTGCTGAACCTGATAAGCTGGTGTCCGCGGCGGGGTTCCCTTTCTTGCTTTCTCCTGCTTCGGGTTTATTCTCTAGGGTTAAATTTTCTGGGTGGTTGCCGTTTTGTCGCGATTGGAGACATACGAGTCTTTACATCATCGCGGATATTTTGCGGTAGGCTATGACCATGAAACCCATCGCTCAGGTGCGCAGTCAGTGGGACTTCAGGGCGCTTTTCTGCGCGCAGGTCAGAAGCGCATCTCCACAGGACACCAGGGAACGAACCCGTGTCGAAGTTGCAACAGGTCAACTTCAATTTTCGATCAAGAAAACGCTGTTCCGCGATCCACGCTTCAGCATCCATGGATTGGCTCGTAGTCGCAGACGCTTTCGAATAAGCGATTCACTGCCCATCTCAAACATGAACCGAACGCTTTGCACGCTATCCTAAACAGCCCACAGAAAGAGTGGCCGATCACTTTGCGCCGAAGCTAACAGGAGGATCATTGCCAAATCCATCATCGAGGCAGCTTCCGAGCAGCATGTGCACTACGGTTGTCACGACCATGTTGACACAGCTATTGCGACATAAAACCCCAATACTTCCGACCATGTTTCATTATTTTGCCATCATCGTGTGCTAGTGAACGGCGAGGCGAGGTAGCCAAATACTCGTCGGTGCAGCTCAGGTGAACCTGCGACTTCCGATCACCAGCCCACGAACCGCGTCCGTGGCGAAAGGGACGGTTCCCGGATATAATTGCTTTCGGTACAACGTTCTAGCAGACACACAGATGCTTGCCAATAGACAATCTACTTGCACTTTCGGGAGGCGTTGGTGGAAAAAATCACACTCTTCAAAGGCGGCCGCACCTCGATGCTCTCCATGAGGTCCTTGCACGCAAGCTCGAGAGCCTCAGGCGTGTCGCAGATCACGGACACTCGAGCCATGTCTGCCAATCTTCGGACGTCCCCACCATAGGACATTGTGGCCTTGCGCCTTGTGCTTTCGAGCGACTTGACTTCGGCATAAAGACCCGTGCGTCCCTGGTAGCCGTTCACCAGCTTCCGTACAAGCTTATCCAGTTGCACCTTTGCGCGGAGAGCGCCTTCACGGTAGAAGTCCAGTTGTTTCTCAAGATTCTCGTCCGCATCGCAACGCTGCGGCTCCAACCCTTCGGGCTGCAAGAGGCTGGGCTTTGGATTGAGTTCTTCTATCCTGTGGAGGCATTCCAACCCCCCATCCATGTTCAGCTCATAGTAAAAAGTGTCATACGCTCGTTCATACTTCGTCACGGTCTTGACTTGAAGGAATTTAAGCAGATTGACCTTGGCGTCCCGTTCAAGAGACAGAGCATTGTCTTCCAGCTCGATCTCCATCTGGAGGAGTTCGTTAATGTCGAGTTCATCGTCCATATGCAGGTCACCATTCCAGAGGGCGGGGTGAAGCCTTAGACATCAGAGCGTCAGAAAGGTGCAAGTTGCTGTTGCACGAATTGACACCAATATCAACGAAAGTACCGGTTACCGCCAGCCTCAGCGAAGTACTGTACCGCCATTTAGTTCTCATTCCACAAACCTATATCGTAGCGTGCGGTGCATGAACTACACTCCGCTCAACGCCAGCTAATTTCTTGAGCCCGTAGACAACAAAAGTGCCGATTAGTCTTACTGGGCGGTTGCGTAACTGACTCATGCTGTTCTGCACTACTTGCGCCGCCGCTAACTGCTGGATTCGGATTTGGATCGATTTGACCGCTGCAGCTATGACGAGCGATGTGGCCGGGACACAAAATTCGAGCGAATGCCATGGAACTCACTGATTGTCATTGTTGTGAGGAAGGCAGAATCGGACAGCCAAGTTTGTTCTACGGACCGTTCTGTTGTTGAAATAGAAGAACACACAACAAGAAAAAATCATGCAAAGCAGAAGTTAAGCAGCGGTTGGAGAAGTTACAAAATCTGAAGCAATGAATCTGTGTGTGGAGGCAAAGTTTCAGTTGGAGAAGAAAGTAGACATGTGTGACGGTGAGAAGGAGGAAATGAACGTTGGTGGATGAACAGGAAACACGTTCTTGGGATGGGAGATGGATGTGAAATGATTTGAGCCATAAAATGAAGAAACAATCAGGAACGGCGCTGGGGGCGACCGAATGGGCCGAAATGATGATGAAAACACCTAGGGCACGACGTAAGAGAGGCGAAGAATATTCCGGAGTAGAAGGAACAACAAGTGGCAAGGACACGTGTAGATGTCGGGAGAGAGGAAAACGCTTGAAGGGTGGAAAGGAGGCAACATATGCAAAGAAGGAGGAACCACGGAACAACGGATACATGCCGCGGTGGACATAGGAGGAGGAACACGTGAGTCGAATACAACATCACGGGTGAGGAGGTGGAAACTTAGGGAGGAAGACTGGGAAAGTTGAAGGAAGAAGGCCAAGGTAGCAGAATGAATGTTTGGAAGGAGGGAGGTGGATAACGACATCACATGATGTGTGCTGGATTTGAGTAGTGCAGAGATGCGGTGTTGGGTTGTCGGTAGGGTGGAGTGTGTCGTGAGGTGTAGTAGACAAGGACGATGGATGGCCCAGCTGGGTCTACCGGAAATAGAGATAAACTGGTTAGCTACAATCAGGCGCCACGTGGACATGAAGATGAAAAGGTAGGAACACAGGTGGTAGACGTAGCATCATAACAAAACATCGTGAAAGGCACGGCCTACCGACATATCACGTGTGGTCTTATTGTTTCTCCTTGAGGGTAGTCTAAATTTGAGGCCATCTAGGGCTTGTTTGCGTCCCAAACCATGGAGATTGAGATATTGCAAAAAGTTGCACCGCCACAGCAGCAGCACGAGCAGCAGAGCGGCAACATTGATAAACACGAATACTCCCCCACAACACTACCTACACAGCGACATTCGATGTTGACCATCAAATTGCTCGTTCTCTAGACTCGCGATCCGTCGCTTTATTTTCCCGAAACGTCCTCCAAAGCGCCAAGATTTCATGTGTCTCCGGCATGTGTGCGCGCGGAGACCGCAAGCTGCCGACCTACACCCACCCGTATCTCAGCTGCGGTGCATCGACCAATGAACACGATATTTGAGGATAGCGTGTGCTGTCATGAAAGACGGACGATGGGGTGGTTTTTAGCGGCCTCGCGATTCGATTCCAAAAGTGTGTGGTTCGGAGCTTTCATCTGAACGCATTGGAGCAGTGCTCAAGGGCAACCACAGGAGTGGGAGCTTCAGGTACACCAGTGGAGTTGGGTATGTCCTATTTGTGTGCTTTTTCTCCAAAGATCAGTAGCCAAACACGGATATCCCCGGTGTACAGTGCCGGCCCGCACTGGAGAACCGCCTATTTTGGGCGAGGCTCAGTTCTTATTGGCTGCCCCTACCCGAGCACCAGTTCTTGTTTGCCAAGTTCTTATTTCGTCGTCCAATCTCCTCCAGAAAGGGGCGTTCTTGTTCTTACAGTATTTTAACATCATTCGCTATATTGTCGGCTGTCAACCATGAGCAACACTAGTACTGCTGTCGATACAAGAAAATACCGAGGCATGGAGCAGCAACTGTCAACCTTCTTGGTCCACAAGGGTGACGTTGGTCCTGCGTACCCTTCCTGATCTACTAACGCTCTCAAGCAAAACCCAGGAGCCTACAGCCGCATCCGAATCTCCGCTGTACTTGTCTAAGGGCAACTTCATCTTGCGCGTACTCTGGTCTAGCTCCAGCTGCACACAGTAGTCGTACAGGTGGCGAGTGTCCTTCTGATATTGTTGAGTAATCAGTCCTCCAAACCACCCCATGCCCAGCCTAACGAGCACTCCACGCCGCAAAAGCAATCTGCCAAGAGCAACGGGTTTAGCGTCTTGAATACGAAAGCCTGCCGGGATCTCCATTCCCTGTATCTCATCCTCCGGGTTTTGTGGGTCCGTGCTGTCGTCGTCGTCCAGAAGAGCTAGCTCGTCGGTCTGGGGTTGAGAGATGTCTGCGAACGAGGTAACGGGAAACACAAGAAGTTAGGGTGTCACGTCGCCAAACTCAACCTGAACTTATCATAATTTGAGTGTAGCCGTGCGCGGAAACAAGCTAACGTCAACATGAAGGACATCGTCATCAACAAAAAGAAGATGAAGAGTTGGCTTTGTGCAAAACAAACTTGCCGCCGTCGTCTTCATCGCTGGAGTCAACGCCCTCCATGAGCGTCTCACGTCCTCCATCACCCTACTCCGCCCGCCCCTCAGGCTCATCGTTGCCGTTCTCCGAACCTTGTTCGTCGTCGCTACTGTCTTCATCGTAAACGAAGGTATACGGCTTGTCCAAACCCTCCAAGGTCATTCGATCATCGCCCGAGCCGTCCACGGTCATGGCCATCCCGCACTTTTCGAAAAGACGGTATCGGTACGCCTGTTGGCTGTTGAGTCTTGCCATGGCCGCTCCCATCCACTGAGTGATCAGGACGCGCCGATCAGAAGCTGTCAGCGACGCGGTTTCCCACCTCTCGAGGTTGTCCGACTGATCGAGCCATATGTCCATCTGCCTCCCGACTTCCACCTTGAGAAATCGTCCGGCTCCTGCATCAACTGGCTGCACCTCGTCCGTGCACTCCGAAGGGCCATACCAGGCGAGAGTGTTGCAGTGCTTCGCAAGATACTCCTTGAACTCGTCCGTGGTCTGCGCGTGCAAGTTGTCCATGATAAGAATGGACCTCGCCTTGGGGAGCTCACCCCGTCCGCGCATCAGGCCTTCGCGGTAGGACCTCTTCGCCCACTCCATGCAGAAATTTTCGTCGGCCCACGCGTTCCCCTGGAAAAACACGTCCACGTCCTCGTGATACGCTGCCTTCTCCACCGGCGAGATCCGCTTTCCCGTGCCTCGGAGAATCACCGAAATGCGTATGGTCTCCTCGCCCGGACCAAAGATGACTTGCATCGTGTACTGCCTTTTCTCTAGGCCAGCAAAGGGCTGCGAGATTGCTACCCGCAACGCACCTCTCTTGTCCCACGTAGCCCGTTCACGAATGCCAAAGACACTTGATCCACATTCCAACGCTCCCAGAGCTGGAATTGACCGTATCTGGGAACCCTGGACTCTCTCTCCGCGACCGTCGTCACTGCCGACACGTCGGACTCATCAGGCGCCCTGTACCGCACCGGCTCTTGCAGGAGCTCGCGAAACAGCCGGTGGAAGCGCTGGATCTTTGGAAACCGCTCTTCGACAGACTTGTTCTTGAGGTTGGTCCGGCGTCTATTGGACAGGTTATGCCTCTTGGCCCATTTTCGCGCCCACCTGAAGGATGCGCGGAAGGACGCCGCCCGTTGATCCCCGGGGTTCATCTCTCGCACGAGCTTCCGGAACGTGATCGTCAGCCACAGGGTCGACACCTTTAGCTTTCTCTTCCGCCGCTCCACGAACCCCTTGTACAGTCGCTTCTCTGCCTCAGGAAACCACCGCTTAGGCTGCTGTTTGGCGAGGAGGCTCTTCTTTACGTCATCGGCTGCCGCCGCGACCAATTCCTTCTCGTTCTTGGCCCACTTCACTATATTGCTGTAGGGAATCTTGAGACGATCCTCGAAGAACAGAAGTGGCGTGCGCTGCTCCTCCTTCCAGAGGTCTTCGGCGTTGTCCTCGAGGATGCGCAGCTGGTTGACCGCGTGGGCTTTGAACCTGAAGTCGTATCGCCTGCGCTTGGGAGCCCCACGAGTGTCCTTGGGTTTGCGGTCCATAAAGCCGTCGCTATCCAAGTCGAGATCGAGAAAGCGCTTCCGCCGGAGGACAAACGAAGCCGTCCCCGTCGCATGATCGAACTTCACGTGCCAACAACGCCCAGGCCCGGCTGCTTCCCACGGCAGGACACTCCCTTGCTCATCCTTCCGTAACATGCGCCGCAGCCGCACGCCGTTGGACATGTTTGCACTGCTGTGCTGCGTTCTCACGTGGATCCCAAGGCCTTGCTCGTTCACGAAGGTCATGGGACAGTGAGGGCAAGATCGGCGGGACTCCGGGGTCGGAGGTGGGAAGCTTATACCGGATATGAGCTCTTTCACTCCACCGCGAGCCCGCTCAATCTGCATGGCAAGGTGGAAGCAGGGCGGAGTTGCCGGGGGGGTGATTTAACGAGTAACGTCATGTATCGTTCGCTATGGAGTGTGGCGCTTTCGACCTCAAACCTCCGTGGAGAGCCGAAAGCTGTCTGTTTCGTTCGTGACTATTCAAACTAGGTATCAAGGAGAGAACGTGCACTGTTGTGACGCCAAAACAAAGTCGCCAGCATCCAAACTAAAATATCTGTCTACACTATTTTCTTTTAATGTTCTGCTCTTGCTTGGAGAAAAGTGGGATGGACGAAAAATTTATCTTATCATGTCTACACAGCGGCAGCATTCCACGAATCTGAAAAAGGCACAACTTTCCGGAGCATTTGTACCGGAGTTGGCTCTTGCCAGCAGACGCAGTTGACGAGAACTCGACACGCCTCCACTTGCTTGGGCACCTACAGCAAGAAACGGCGTGCGAAACGAAGTCGTTGCCAGCAGAGGCCAGCCCCAAAACTACGAACTTTCTCCTTTTTTTTTTATTACGCGCCGCTACTGAAAAAAAATGACCCTCATCATGTCATCGTTTTCACGGGAGTTTTTCTTGAAAAACGAAAATAGTGTATGTAGACTACACCGGTAGCGAAAAGTAACTGGGTGCTCACCGGTCCTCGGCTGCCAATCGCGAACGCGTTGCAGATGTTGCCGCCTACAGTGCCTTTGGCAGCCCTCTCCGTAGCTTGCTTCCCGCGATCCACGGCCTTTCTCCTCGCGGTACCTGCAGCAGCAGGTGGGTGCTGAGACGGCGGTGCAGCATCTCGCGCGCTGCCGGCATCTTGTTGGGATAAAGAGGACAGGCGAGTGCTGCTGGTAATACCCTGCGTTTCGCCGTCAATCTGCGTGACCCACGCTTCTTCGTCGAAGACACCGTTCTGCTTCAGCCCCCACGCGCTCTCGATGGCGTCCAGTTGCCCGCCTTCACGTGTGCTTTGATTGTCTCGAAGTGACGGTCAAGAATCAGACCCCTTTGTTTCAACTCTGCAAGTTTGCCAAGCTCTTTCACTATCCCATGGGATAAGGGATTGCACTGGGACATGATCCAGCTGCACCGCAGGCAGCTCGTGGCACGCTGCACGTTGCGTGGCACGCACGCTTTTCTCGGGGGCACCCAGGGGCAAGACGCGTGCGTACAATGCCCACCCTCCCTCTCTGAAAAAATACAAATATTGATATGTGGGGTATGTACCCCTCCCAAATCCAATACTCTCTACTCTGGGATCACTCCCCCCCCTTCCCTCCCTCCCCCTGCGAGTATTCTTATCTGGCAGCCGCTGCATTGCTGTCGTTCTTACGGTAGCCGCAGTTTTGCACCTCAGGTGTGTGTTCTTGTTCCTAACAGGGTAACAGGGCGTGCAGCTGAGCACGTGTTCTTACCGGTAAATTCTCAAGTTTTGGATTTTTTTAGCATCAAATTCTTAAGTGCCATATTCTTATGTGCGGACCGGCACTGTATCACCATTTTAGGGTACCAACTGTAACGCATGCACCCCCAGGCGGCCATCTGATTGGCCGAACACCATCAATCCGCTGTTGGAGAAACCTCCATCGGGTACAACTGCCGCTGGCGTCTCGACCCTCTGGTGTAACCGATACTGGCCACTGGTGTATCCGATACTGGCTACTGGTGTACTCGAAAGGGGTCGATTTTGAACCCAGAAATGGTCGTAAAATCCTTGCGCCCGTGGACTCTAAAACCCGCAGAAAAAAACGTGTACCGCGCATACCCGCACAACGCACCATGTACCGCACAACAACCGCAGCTGCAGCTACACAAATACAACCACCACCAACGCCTCCCGAGGATACCAATCTCCGACAGCCTCCTCCGCAGATCGCGGCGAAACCAAGCGGCCGTGTCCTGTGCCTCATTCACGCCTACTGGGGGACATTTTTTTTTTTTCTCCCATCATTGGACTATGTCGTCTGCCCCTCTGGCCCCTATCCTCCACTGCTACTAGCTAGACGACCCAACCGGGGTCACATAGATAGGAGGGGGAGGCTGGACCCCCTCCTGCGGTTCCTGCCTGAGGTATTTTTATCGCGAGCAGGGTACACCAATCCCTTTCCTCGCGACTTACGAGGTCGATTATGGTTTACTATTACTAACAACGAGCTTTGCAGCGCGTCGCTTTCATCCTAGACAAGGATTTCAATATTGAGAAAAAACTCACTCTGACACGTACAGTAGGCAGGCCGTGCCCGTTTAAAACTCACTCTGACATGTACAGTAGGCAGGCCGTGCCCGTTTTGTCGCTCTGTACTCTCTGTGCTTACGTATCAGCACCAAAGCGAGCTAGCTCGGGCGTCTAGCGAGGTCGACCCTCTATCGGGGCCTACGAGTCAATAAGCGCTGGTGGTTTGGTTGTGTGGCTACTGCTGTGACTGCTGTGGGGTATGTTGAACGAACATGGTGTGTTGTGCGGATACGTGCGGTACACGGTTTTTTCCGC